TTATGAATCTGAATGCCTTGTGTCCTATATAATATTTGTCAGTTTATCCCGAGGAGCCTTCAGAGGGAAGCCAGCCATGGTGGTGCTTTCCTGTGATCCCAGTATTTGGGAAGATGATCACAAGTTCAAGGTCAGCCTGGGCTGCAGATTGAGCTCCCGTCCCCAAAGCAAACAAAACACGAAAGCAAGCAAAAATAAATAAATAAATAAATAAATAAATAAATAAATAAAGCCACAGGGAGAACCAAGTACATATTCTTGAGGCAGATTTCTAAACTGTCCTCTTTATCCAGGCACAGCCCTTTAAAATCTGTGTCCTGGCAGGAAAGACTTTTCCTTTAGGAAGTCAAGCCTGGGAGTGTGTTGGGAATAACATTCTTGTGTTTTTTTTTTTTTTTTTTTTTTTTTAAGGCATTTTAAGCCAGGGCCTCCTATAGCCAACTATAGCTACCACCACTCCCTTGTCTCTGGGATGCCCTTGGCCCAAAAGGAATTGCTCCCTGTGATATAACACACACACACACAGATACATGCACACATGCAAGGGCACACTACACAGTTTATTGTTTTATTGGTATCTACCTAGTTTCCTGACACATAGCCCCTGAGACCCTAGGAATCGCATAGTAAGTAGTGCATGTGCTTTTTATGCTATTGAGATGGCAGGAAGAGCTCCTGGGTAGACCCAGTGTGACTGTGACGGGCTGGTTACCAGAGTCAGAAGCTTGGAAATGTCAGCCCTGCTCCCCGCCCAACAGGGAGAGCAGAGATGAGGTGGGGGCTTGCTGAAACACAGTCAGTCATGCCTACGTGGTGAGGTCACCTTACGTATCCCACCCCATGCTGTGGGGACTCGCGGAGTTCCAGAGTGCTTCTGGACTGGTGGAGGTAGAGAGCTTGTGACACGCCTAGAGAAGGCATTGAAACAAGCCCATGCTCACGTGCCTTTTGCCAAGCATGTCTCTGCTTGGCTGTTCTTCAGTTATACCTACCCTTGTATGATAAACAAACAATATAGGAACTAAGCCATTTTCCTAAGTTCTGTGGGGTAGTCTAACAAATTACCAAAACTGCAGAGGGAGTTGTGGAACTGAGTTTAAAATTTAGGACCCAAGCGGGGGGGGGGGGGGGGGGGTCTACCAAAATGAAGAAAATTGCTTGTTTTGCAGGGGAGGATCACATATTTGGTGACTACAGTTTCTGTGCATTTAACTAAAGAGATAGGTTTTTCCCTGTTCGTTCCCCAGGGGAGACTCCAGGGAACCCAAGAGATAGAAGACAGCAGGTGCTGGCTGAGCCCCTATGGGGAAGGCTGCCGATTTCTCAAGGATGCTCCCAGGAAGAGTGTCACCCATTTAAAAAAAAAACCCACTTTTTGAGTTTGTTTTGAGACACCATCTTGCTGTGTACCCCAGGCTGATCACAAACTTGGGGTCCTCCTGCCATGGAGTTCACAAGTAGCTGACATTAAAGATGTATGCTGTTGCCCCCAGACCAAGAGCCACTTCTGACCTTTCCTCCTCCTCGTGGCTCAGGCTAACGGTATAACTGGTGGCAGAGCACTCATGTACAAGGTCCTGAGACCGCCCTTCAGCACTGAAGGAAAATCAAAAAAAAAAAAAAAAAAAAAAAAAGTTTAGGAATCAGACCACTTCTTTAATGGCCTTGGTTCTTCCTGTTTTGAGGTTGAAAATGGAGCAACAGCAAATGCTTCTAAGACCAAACAGGGCTCTTGGGAAGGGTGGAAAAAGATTATTAGTGCTATGCATGAGATTCAGTCTTGTTGGAGAGAATCTAAAATTCAGTATTGTTTGAACTGCTGATTGTGGGTTAAGGAGTGTTGGTTTTACACTTGGTTTAGCTACACTTCATGAGATAAAGTCTCCCTTTTCTGTTTCTCAACTAAAGCAGGCATCCTGTGCCATCTTAAGCCTCCTACCTTCCATTCCTTTCAATTGCTGGCTTTGTGTTTTGTCGGTGGCCTGTCGGTCTGTCAGTCTGTCTGTGCCTCACATGGTCAAGGCTGGCCTTGAACTTCTGATCCCCCTGCCATTCCCAGTCCTCTCTGGGATGACAGGTATTAGGTACCAGGCCCGGCTTTCCACCTCATTCTCCTCCAGAGTGAATAATACAAAGCACTGCTCCAGCTCTGGCGGCTCTGCCCACTTCCCTAATCTGTTCCTCTCAGATCATCTCCATCACTACCCCACTGAAGGGTAGGCGCCCATGCCCGTGTGAGGGACCGGTCCCCAGCCGTTAGAAACCAGACTAGGTCTCCCAGGAGCAGATGTTTGGGAAAGACATCCACACTAGCTACAGTGTAGAGCAGCCAGTGTGAAGTCACCCTGGGTTTTGGTGAGGGAAGGGCATCTTCACCCCTTTTGTCACAGCTGAAGGCCGTAGCACGCGCAGTAGGGAAAATTTCCTCTGAGCATTTTGACTTTTGGAGATTAAAGTCAGTGTAGCACGTGTGTGTGCTGTAGGCACATGTGTGTGCCAGTGCACACGCCTACACACTCTTGTGGAGGTCAGGGGTTGACATAAGGTGCCTTCCTCTGTTGATCTCCTCATTTTTTAAGACGGGATCTGTGTGCTGGTTATTTTTTTAACTTGACATAAGCTACACCCACCTGGAAAAAGAAAACCTCAGTTGAGAAAATACCTCTATCAGACTGGCTATAGAGGACAAGCTTATGGGACTGTTGCTGTGCTTGTTGTTTTTTTAATGATTGGCGTGGAAAGGCCTAGCCCAGCATGGGTGGTGCCCACACTAGGCAGGTCATTTAAAAAAGGGAGAGCTGGACAAGCCATCAGGGCAAGATGGTAAGCAACACACACACACACACACAAACACACACACACACACACACACACACACGGCCTCTGCTCCAGTTCCTGCCTCCAGGTTCCTGTCCGGCTTGAGTTCTTGCCATGGTGTCCCTCAGTGATGGGCTGGGCTGGGAAGTGCCGGTCTTTCCTCCCCACTTTGCTTTTGGTTATCACAGCGACTGTTCCACCTGTTGGCTAGACTAACTGGCCAGTGAGGCCTGGGATTCCCCTATCTCTGTCTCCCCACATTGGGCTTGCAGATACACGCTGCCTTGCCTGGCTTCTTACAAGGGCTCTGAGGAGTCAGACTGAAGTCGTCATGCTGGGCAGCAATACTTTACACACGGTACCAGCTCTCCAGCCCTGAGATTTTGTTTTTAACTAGTAACATGAGACAGCAAAACAGCTCAGTGGGGGGAAAGGTGCTTGTTTGTCACTCTGAGCTTGGCAACCTGAATTCGATCCCCAGAACCCATGTAAAGGTAAAAGGAGAGGCTGGGTGTTGTAACCGGCCTTTGCTGCTTTGTGGGGTCCTTATTCTCTCCCACCCTTATTCCACCCTTTCAACCCCCAACACTAGGTCAGAGAAAAAGAAGGCTAGATGGGATAGGAAGCATCAGTATCGTTACACTACTCCCTGCTGATTGGGCATCTGAGCTCCTTGGGGTGAGTTTGACCTTCCTTGTCAGGATCTTTCCAACCAGCAACCAACAACCACAGCAGAAGCAAACAGCAGCAGCAGCAGCAGCAGCAGAGGGAGCAGGAGGAGGAGGAGGAGGAGGAGCGGTGGTGGCGGTGGCGGTGGCGGTGGCCGCCGCCGCCGCCGCCGCCGCCGCCGCCGCCACCACCACCACCACTGCTACAACCACCAACTCCCTTGGGGCTCTGGCACTTATATACCCCCTGAAGAGTCCCTGGCATTCCAAATGTAAACCGTCTACACCTGGCAAAAATCACCCTCCTGCTACAGCACGAAGCAAATCACAGTAGCTGTGAACAATCTGAAGCAGCACCATATCTCACACCTGAGATTAAAACAAAAATATATTCCCATAACATTTTTATATTTTTAAAGAAACCAAAGATTTTCACTACAGGGTGTGGTGGCGCATGCCTTTAGTCCCAGCACTCAGGAGGCAGAGGAAGGAGAATCTCTGGGAATTTGAAGCCAGCCTGGTCTGCAGATTGAGTTCCAGGACAGCCAGCGCTACTCTGATCTACACTTCTTCCTACAATAATACTAAACATTCTTTAAATTTAAAAAAATATTTCTATCTTACCAATCGAAACAAAAGGAGCAGGCATCTATATCTTTAAAGATCTGTGCATAACAAGGAAAGAAAGGGTCTGGGGTTCATATCCCCAGAACCCCTGTAAGTACCAGGTTGGCATAGCAACTTGTCTGTAATTCCAGCCCTGGGAGACACAGATAGAATCCCCAGAGCAAGCTGACTAGCTGACTAGCCTTATCAGCAAACTCTGGGTTTGATTAGAGATCCTGCCTCAAAAGAAGGAAATGGAAGAATAATCAAGGAGGATTTCCAACATCAACTTTGGGCTTCCACATGCATGCATACACACGTGCTCCTACACACACGTGTGCCTGCAGATGTGGAGACACGCATACTCAACATGCACACACATGAAAACTGTCAACTTTATTAGCCCATTCATTGATAGGGTGGCTTTTTTGTTGTTGTTTGGTGTTTAACTTTTAGAGTTCTTTTCTTCATCTTGCTGGGTAGCCCTCGTTAGGCTGGAACTCGCTGGTAAACCAAGCTGGTCTCGACCTCATGGTGATCCTCTAGTCTCTGCCTCCCGAGTGAGGCCAGCTGGAATTCCTCACAGATTCTAGACATTAGCCTCCAGTCTAGTGTCCGGCTGGCACCCTCAAGGCTGTCTCTTCACCTTGGTTGTTCCTTTTCGGTGCAGAAGCTTTACAAGTTCCTGTAATACGGTGGCTCTCAACCTGTGGCTTATGACCCCTTTGGAGATCAAATGACCCTTTCACAGAAGTTGCCTAAGACCGCCCAAAAACACAGAGGTTTACATTATGATTCATAACAGTAGCAAAATGACAGGAGGTAGCAATGACATGATTTTATGGTTGGGGTCAGAGCATTAGGAGAGTTGAGAACCACTGCTCTAACACCGTTTTTCCATTGGTGCAGGCATTACAGAATCAGTATGGAGATGACCTGAAAAGCTGAGAGTGGACCTACAGTATGACCCAGCTGTCCCACTCCTGGATACACATACCTGAAGGATTCTGTGTCGACACACCACAGGGAAACTTGAATGCTCATGTTTATTGTTGCACTATTCACTGTAGCTAAAAAGTGGAACCAGCTTACACGTCCATCTAAGAAAAATAAAATGTGGTGAATGTGCCAAATAAAATCATGGCCTTCTTAGAAAAGTGGATGGAACTGGAGGTTACCCTACAAAGTAAGCCAGACTCAGAATGTCAAATGTGATCTGTTTTCTCTCATGCAGAATCTAGATTTGTGAGTGTGTGTGTGTGAGTGTGTGTATGTGACAAATTAAAAAGAGGATATGAAAGAGGAAGAAGAGACCTTTAGAAAGGAAGGACGGGAAGAGAGGATAATTGAACCATATGTGTCATGCTGGGTGTGGAGTATTCCTTTAATCTCTTTACTCAGGAGGCAGGAGCAGACAATCTCCATGCGTTCAAGACTAGCTGATCTATGTAGGGAGTTCTAGGCTAGCCAGGCTATACAGTGAGAACCTGTCTCAAAAAAAAAAAAATCAGAATATATATGACATGAAGGTGACCAGCAAGAGGGTGAGGAGTGGGTCAGTGGGGATAGGGATAGATACGAGCAAACTACCACGATAAATGTGTATGAAAACACCATGATGAAGCCCGGCATGGTGGCACACACCTCTAATCCCAGCGCTTGGGAGGCAGAGGCAGATGGATCTCTGTGAGTTCTAGGCCACCCTGGTCTACAAAGCAAGGTCAGGACAGCCAGGGCTACACAGAGAAACCCTGTCTCATGATGAAACTCATTACTGTGTGTCTATCACACACACACACACATCCTAACTGTGGCTAGAAAGGCTCCTTACCCCTCCTGGTATACCATGTTAACTGTGACACGCAGAGACACTCAGCACCCATCTATCCAGCAGCAGGAGTGGGTTAGTGGGCGCCACCTGTTTGCCACCTGTAGCCCAGAGCTTTCAGGGTGTTTATCACATCTCTTCACATCTCTTTCTCTTCTGTCCCCAGGGCTGGTCTCTATTGTGACCTTGCTAATGAGTCAACTGGTATTTCGTGTGTTTTGGGTATGGGAACACTGCTTCCTCAAGTAACTCTAGGACGGACTTTGGTGCATCCTATAGCTAGCAGGAACTATAAGTACTTTTAATTTCTAAATTACACATTTCTCAAATGTTTTATTGTTCAAAGTTTTTTTTTTCTCTCTTCATTTTTCATTTTATGTGTGTTGTATGTTTTGCCAGCATGCATTTGTCTGTGCTCTGTGTACATGTAGTTCCTAAAACTGCCAGAAGATTCTCTGATTCTCAGATTCTCTGAGACTGGAGTTAACAGATGCTTGCGAGCTGGGGTGCTGGGTCCTGGGAGCCTCTAGAACAGCAGGCATCTTAACCACAGAGCCACTTCTCCAGCCCCAAATGTTTTGATTTTTTTTTTGTCAACAGCCTTTAATCGCAGCACCTGGCGACAAAAGCTGGCAGATCTCTGTGAGTCAAAAGCCAGCATGGTCTGTAAATTCAAGGCCAGCCTGGGCAAGCTACATAGTAAGACCCTATCTCAAAAAGAAAAGAGTTTGGCCCTCTGGCTTTCTGGCCTGTCAGGATGCCCTTTCATCAAATCATGCCCCTGCCATGTGTGAAGGCCTTCAAAACACGCAGCCCACTCAGTCTCAGACTGCCCAAGACACAAAACAAATACATTTCTATTTGTTACCAAACCCGGCCTGCCAGGTGGGGGTGGTGCACGCCTGTAATCCCAGCACTCAGGGAGGCAGAGGCAGGCGGATCTCTGAGTTCAGGGTCTACAGAATCGAGTTCCAGGAAAGCCAGGGCTACAGGGAGAAACCCTGTCTTAAAACAAAAATAAAGTTTACCCAGCCTGAGGTGTTCTGACACAGGGAAGCAGGGGCAGGATGTTTGATGGAACAAGAGTTGGTTTTCTCCTTCTACCATGTGGGTTCAGGGACCCATTTAGGTTGTCGAGCTTGGCACAAGCACCAGTTTTACCCTCTGAGCAATCTCACTGCCGGAGTAGATTCCTTGGTCTAGAGCCCAGGGGAGTCCAGGCACGCTCCTCTCACAGAATCATTCGGGGTCCAGGTGGCCCCAGTGACCCAGAAGCATATTTGCCTAATCACAGTCTGTAGGACTTGCTCTGTAAATTCAGCCTGCTTCCCTCTGCTCGCTCTTCACTTACTTCTGTGCCAGCCCCACCAGCCCTGGGAGCAAAAATTTGCATCATGGAACAGCTGGAGGCTTTGGGGACTGCTGCATCAAGTCATGTCCTCTCTAGCTCTCTCCTGGCTGCTCCTGGCCGTGACTCTTCCCCTCCTGGAGCTGGAATCAACATTTGTCCCCACAGCCCAATCAGTAAGTAGTGGGATGAGGACCCTGGGGAGAGCTGCAGAGACCACAACCAAAGCCTCAGGTTGTGAGGGAGCATAAGGAGTGGACAAAAGGACAGCTGGAGGGAAGGAGCCAGCTTGCAAGACCTCCCCCCCCCCCCCGCCAGAAGCCAGTCTTCCTGCCCAGGATGAGGGGACAGTTCAGTGTCTTTCACTGAGTCCCCACGAAGCCCTGTGGCATAAAGGCTCTTCTGGTCATGCTAGCAATTTAAAATGAAACGAAAAGAAAATGTTTGCAGATGTGGAAGCTTACTGGCCTGGAGGGTGGGCGAGAGTCTGAGGAGAAGTGGTAGAGCCCAGGCTTGTGTTTTATAATGTTTTCTCCCATCTCCAAATGTATTGCAATCCCCAGATCTAAATCTGTATATGCCACTTTCTCTATGTCTTCTCTATATCCTATCCTTGTCTGTGTCTGTTAATGTTATATCTATATCTCTGGGTCCACCTAGTTTTATTTACTCTCTCGTTTTTATTTTTTGTGTGGATCTGCTGTGTTGCCGGGGATGGTCTTGAACTCTTGCACTTAAGATGTGTTACTGCCTCATAATCATAAGTGCTGGTATTACAGGCATGTACTGCCATGCCTGCTTTCTTTCTGGTTATATTATTTCTACTTTGGGGGTGATTGTTGTTAGGGTTTTTGTTGTGGTTTGTCTTTGTTTTGTTGTTTGTTTTCTGAGATAAAGGTTCACCTTGTAGCCCAGGCTGGCTGGAACACACTGTGTAGAGCCCAGGCTGACCTTGAACTTGTTGCAGTCCCCCTGCTTCAGCCTCCTGGGTGCTAGGACTGCAAATGTGTGCTGCCACCTGGTTTTAGATACAGATGCACAGGAGATTATTCTGAGAGGAAAGAGTGGGTTGGTTTGCGGGACCCTTCCCTCCTGTTGGAGCTCTGGACTCAGCCATTTCAAGTAGCCTAGAGCCCAGGGACAGGTAAATACAGGAAGAAGGTAAGCAAAACATGTTGACTCCCGGGGTGTGCCTGGTTCCTGCTTTCAGGAGAGACTGCTGGCCCTGGCAGTGTCCCTGGAATTTTGCCCTTGTCCCTCCTCTTCTGAATGCTTTTTTCCCCCTCCAGATATTTATGTTTACCTCTGGCCTAAAGAAGAGCTTCCGAGAGACCAAGTCACACCAGAATAGCCAGAATAGCCAGGATAGCCAGAATAGCCAGGCCGCCCTGGTGCCGTGGGAGGAACTTGGGATCAGCCTCTCTCCTCAAAGGTCTCTCTTCTGTCTCTTTCCAGGAACGCAAGCCATCTGGAGGGAAACCTGGGCAGCAACTGAACCAAAACAGTGAAGGGGGTGAGTGGAGGGACTGATGGGGGCAGGGGCAAAAAGGAAGGGGAAAGGAAGAAGCAGGAGAGGGCACAGTGAGGGAAGCAGAGAGAGGACAGGCTCTGGAAGGCCAGACAGGTCCTACATCAGCTCTTTAGCTGGGAGGCCTAGAGAGACACGTGCACTTTTGCAATGACAACGTGAAACCGTGGAGCAGACTGCATCCCCACTAGGGGTGCAGAGGCTACAGGAGATGACCGGAAATGGCCAACTGAGAGCAAAAGGGGGCTAGTCTGGGGCCTCACTGCCTCTCCTCTGATGCTGTCTTTGCCTCTGTAGAATCAGTGCTGGTCTCCAGCTATGTACATCTGGAATTTTCAAACAGGACGAGGCCACAGAAACTCTTGAATAACTTGACTCTTCCTGCTGCCTGGGCATCCCTTTCCCCAAGAATGCTTACTGGCCTCAGCCTTACAACAGGTATCAGCTGGATGGTAAAGGGGCTCCGTGTGAATGACACACAGCTTCCCAACTCTCTAGCTAGCCAGCTTGCTCTGGAGATGCAGCGAGCTCTTCCTAGTTCCTGAAGACTATAACTGGGTTCACTCTCCCCACCCCTCCCCTTCCTCCTTTCATTATCTGAAAGACCCCTCCCTTCCTGCTCACACCCCAGTGTACTGACCTGAGCAGGGGATTCTAGGTACAGGCAGAGCTTGAGGAACTTAGCCCTTGCCCATCTCGGCCTGCTGCTCCGGAAAGGAAGCTTGCAAAGGAAGTCCCCTTGGGTGGGTGGGCCTGATCTCCTGGGACTTGAAGATTGGTGTCAGCCAGCCCTGAGACCTCATTTTCTCAGCCTGCCTGCCTCTGTCTATCACAGAGTGTCGTGTTGACCACAAGGAGACTAAGTTCTGCTCTTGCCAGCCTGGCTACCAATGGAATGCCACACTTTGTTCCCTTTACCCAAGCTGCCGTGGCCACAGGTCAGAAAGAGATTCCTGTGAATGTAGAAGCTTCCACGGTCCTGTTCCTGGCTACTGCCAGTTGCTGCCACCTGGTAAGGAGGGTTGGGAACTTGGATACTAGTATCCCCAAGTGAAAAGAAACACTTTCTAGATAGTTGTGTTCTTTTTGTTTTGTTTTTGGCTTTTGCTTTGGACCTGTGTTTCTGGCTGCTCCAAGCCAGGCTGCTCCTCTGGCTAGGGGAAAAAAAATTAAAAAAATAAAAAAATAAATCCAACTTGTCACAGCAAGACCCTGGACCTGAGCTTGGGACTTGAAAAGTGAGACTAATGAAAGCAGCTCTGGAGGCACATGGGCAAAGGAAGGACCTTCCCTGAAGCAGCTTCAGCAGCCCCAAGTCTCTTGAAAGTGGAAGCCGTGAGCCAGAGGGCTTGCCACTTCACTTTTCGGTGGTAGGGTCTACCAGGCTTCGGT